GCAATTTTTCTCGTCGAATGTAATTTGTAAGCGAAGGGATGAGAGAAAGAGAAAGAGAAAGACGCTTTCGTTCAATTTTCACGGTGAATCGTGGAAAAATCTGATACGACCTAGACGACGATCGTCCCGATTAGGTTACGAAACTAATTAAATCATCAACGGGGGGACGGAGTTTGCGTCACAGTAGAGGGATACTTGCTCAAACGTTTCAATTGTTTAATTGTTCAAACGTTTCAACTGTTTTAACTAATTTTTAATAAACTCTTTAGGTAGCTAAATTGTCATTAAGTAATACACTATTTTTAGTTGAATAATTATTTTCTAGACTGGAATAGTTTTCGAGATATCGAGGAAAATATGTCTTTTTCATCCCCAATTTTGAGGGTTGTTTTCCAGAAACACAGAGCTATGGAAAATTTTACAGGATGAATGGAAAAATAATTTTTACTTGAATAATTTTTATCTAGACTGAATGATTTTCGAGATATCGAGGGAAATATGTCTTTTTCATCCCCAATTTTCAGGGTTGTTTTCCAGAAACACAGAGCTATGGAAAATTTTACAGAATAAATGGAAAAATACTGATACAGAGATGATTAATAAATTGATCTTTAGGATACAAGAATTAGTGAAAGTATTGCACACGTTTTTCATGTTACACATAGTAAATTATGTTTCGAAATATTTATGAAATTTAATATCCCATGACTCTTGTCTTATTTGTTTCTTCGTGTCTTTGCAGACATTTTTCCGTATTATATTATTACTCTCGGAGCACTGCGTATATCTATGTATATTTCTCTCTCTCTCTCTTTCTCTCTCTTTGTTCACCTCGTTTTCTGATTTCCGCCTTTGATGTTCAATTTTATTTCTTTCGTTTCGGAATCCTTTGACTACAATTACTACTACATTCTTTGTATCCAATCACTGCCCATTTAATTTAACACTGATCAATTCGATGCGTGTGCGTATCGGGGAATCTTACGCGAAAAAGGCCAAAAAAGGCGTTCGTGTTGGAACCCTTTGAAAGTATTAAAGTTCAAGCATCGTTTAATGCGAGAGATTCCAATTAACAATTTAAAGAATTAGTCGCCCCGCTGTGTATCCCAATTAATGTATTGCATTTCGTTAAATTCGAAGCAATATGTGAAAAGGAATACAAAAACAGTATAAAAGACATATCAAATTAAACGAGAATTAACTATTTTTACGCGTTAAGAATCTTTTTCTTTCATTTGGAATTTATATTAAAAAAATGAATTTCAAAACTCTCTAATGGAATTGGGATATTCAATCATAATGAATATTTAATATGGCATCCCTTTGAAGAATCACTAATTAAGGTCTAAAAATTCTCATTTAAACGACTCTGGAAAATCCAAAAAATTGTCAAATTAAATAAATAATTTCAATTGGGATATTTAATCATAATGAATATTTAATAATGGCATCCCTTTGAAGAATCACTATGGTCTAAAAATTCTCATTTAGACGACTCTGGAGAATCCAAAAAATTATCAAATTAAATAAATAATTACAATAAAATAATTGTCAAATTTCGATAAAATCGGTTGATTAATGTCGCAACTTTCAAAAATACTATCTCGAATAGAATAGTTTTAAAAAGATAATATCTAAAACTAATGTTCGTGTAAATATACACGTTTTATTTGATTTTATTCCCGGACAATTCTCGATCGCAAAGTGATTAACAACGAAGGAAATAATTACAATAAAATAATTGTCAAATTTCGTTAAAATTGGTTGATTAATGTCGCAACTTTCAAAGAACACCGTCTCGAATAGAATAGTTTTAAAAAATAAAATCTAAAACTAATGTTCATGTAAATATACGCGTTTTATTTGATTTTATTCCCGGACAATTCTCGAAGGCAAAGTGATTAACAACGAAGGAAACATCCTGTGCAACGGTCGTGCGTCTTTCGCCGTGAGCTTTCCACGTCGAGAGGCACACGCATGAATAATAAAGAAATATGCAAAGAGGCCTCCGGCTTCTTATTCGTTCGAATTGTATCAATTAAACGCGGCCAGACGGGAGACAGGAAGGTCATCGACCGCCATTAGTTTCACTCCGACAGCCCCGTTTTTTTCTTTTTTTTTTTTTTGCATTTGCGGCAACTTTCTCCGCGGAGCTAACCGAAAGGTATTTTTCCAGCAAAAAAGGAATACGGGCTTGAGAGTATTAATGCAGAACCGGGGGTTCCGTTGCAAATGTGCATCCGTCGGAGGAAAATGCGCGCGCATGGAAACGTGTGTGAAGAGTAGATCGAACAGTGGTTTCGAGGGAGGCGCACGGTAGTGCCCTGGAAGAGCAAGAGAAGCGTAGATAGAGATATTCAGAGATGCAGCCGGCTACTTTGCGTCGCTGCAAGAGACCCTATGCGACGCTGAATTTACATAAGCGGCTTTTCTCCGGGCGAAGCTTTTCTCTTGGTCCTAAACAAATATTGACCGGGCTACCTTCGCCTCTTCTCGCCACCTGTCATCGTCAAATGGTCTTTAGCTGACCAGGCACATTATAATGCGAACAATAAACCGGCAAGACACCGTGGCAAATAGCAATGCTCGAGACTACCGTCCTGCTTAGAATTAATTAAGAAATTTAGAGTATTTTATATTGCATCAAGAACAAAGCTTTTTAAAACTATCTTTAGATTTAATTACATTTCTCGAACGATCTGAAACATTTACAAATCAACGATTTGATATATTTTAAGTCTAGTTTTTCTCGAAAAAAATTCGAGAAAGTGTGAAATTTTAAATCGTTCCAAAAAAATAATTTTCAGTTGCGTGGGTCAATTACAATCATTTTTGGTGAATAAACATACCCTTGAAATCCTAACCAGTTTCGAGGAAAAAATTCAATAAGTGGATAGATTTTTCGACAAAATTAAAACATTTCAAATCGTCCTGAAAAAATTATATTAAATTACAGGGGTCAATTACAAGCATTTTTGGTGAACAGACATACCCCTGAAATTCTACCCACTTTCGAGAAAAAAATTCGAGTAGATGTGGAATTTTTCGACAAAATTGAAAAATTTCCAATCGTTCTAAAAAAATTATTTTCAGTTGCGTGGGTCAATTACAATCATTTTTGGTGAATAAACATACCCTTGAAATCCTAACCAGTTTCGAGGAAAAATTCAATAAGTGGATAAATTTTTCGACAAAATTAAAACATTTCCAATCGTTCTAAAAAAATTATTTTTAGTTGCCTGGGTCAATTACAATCATTTTTGGTGAATACACATACCCTTGAAATCCTAACCAGTTTCGAGAAAAAAATTCAATAAGTGGATAAATTTTTCGACAAAATTAAAACATTTCAAATCGTCCTGAAAAAATTATATTAAATTGCAGGGGTCAATTACAAGCATTTTTGGTGAACAGACATACCCCTGAAATTCTACTCACTTTCGAGAAAAAAATTCAAGTAGATGTGGAATTTTTCGACAAAATTGAAAAATTTCCAATCGTTCTAAAAAAATTATTTTCAGTTGCGTGGGTCAATTACAATCATTTTTAGTGAATAAACATACCCTTGAAATCCTAACCAGTTTCGAGGAAAAAATTCCAGTAGATGTGGAATTTTTCGACAAAATTGAAAAATTTCCAATCGTTCTAAAAAAATTATTTTCAGTTGCGTGGGTCAATTACAATCATTTTTGGTGAATAAACATACCCTTGAAATCCTAACCAGTTTCGAGGAAAAAATTCCAGTAGATGTGGAATTTTTCGACAAAATTGAAAAATTTCCAATCGTTCTAAAAAAATTATTTTCAGTTGCGTGGGTCAATTACAATCATTTTTGGTGAATAAACATACCCTTGAAATCCTAACCAGTTTCGAGAAAATAATTCAATAAGTGGATAAATTTTTCGACAAAATTGAAAAATTTCCAATCTTTCTAAAAAAATTATTTTTAGTTGCAGGGGTTAATTACAATTATTTTTTATCATTACACATACCCCCGAATTCCTACGCGTTTTCGAGAAAAAAATTCCTTACCGAAAATTTCATGTCTGACCATACCGTTGATATGTTTCACTGAAATTTCAATCAAATTTTTAAAACGTCATAACTTCTGAACGGATTGGCCGATTTTAATGTTTCAAAACGCAAACGACGCGTATTTTGGTGAAGAATATGTAGAAATTCTAAAAATATCCGAAAACGTGCCCCTTGACCCCGGAAAATGAAAAAAACACCCATAAAAATGGTCCAATTTTCAAACGACCATAACTTCTACAATAGTGAATATATTTCGATGAAATTTTTTTGTGGAGTAGTGCTCATGGGTGCCTACAAAAAAGTATTAGACAACATTTCCGTACAGCGTGAAACAAATTTACTAAAAATCAGAAACGAATTTTTAAGAAAATTCGACAGGTGGTAGTTGCTATAATTTTTCTGCGAAATTGAAAAGATTCAAATCGTTCTGAAAAAATTATTTTCGGTTACAGCGGTCAATTGCAATCAATTTTGATCATTAGATATACCCTCGAAATCCTACCTATTTTCGAAAAAAAAATTCGAGGAGTGAAATTTTTCGACAAAATTAAAAAATTTCAAATCGTTCTGGAAAAATTATTTTTAGTTGCAAGTGGCAATTACAATCATTTTTTGTCAATACACACACCCCCGAAATCCTACGTATTTTCGAGAAAAAAATATTCTTTATCGAAAATATACTCTGTGACCGGAAATATTTCTATAACTTTTTAACGAAGCCTCAGACGAGAAATTGATATTCTTGATTTTCGTCTTATTTTGGCCTCTAGAATCTCCCAATAAAATGTTTTCCAGACCTTTAGAATTACAAAGATGCAGATTTGGGTACAAAGGCGAGTCACAACTGTATGCTATCGTTAATTTAATCTTGACTGCTATTAACCTAACGGAGATCTCTGTTTGCTACGAATGTACCAGAATTACACGGCGAAGTTACTATTGCTGTCGTGATCTTTTTGTTTCAGAACGGAAATTATTCGTCGGCATGCTATCGAAGAAGTTCACCGAAAACGATGTTAGGAACATGTTCAGTGTCTATGGGGCTATCGAGGAGTGCTCGGTGCTAAGGGACAGCACGGGAAAAAGTAAAGCCTGTGCCTTCGTTACCTTCGCTAGTAAACAATACGCCATCAACGCCATCAAAGCTCTTCATCACTCGCAAACGATGGAGGTCAGTAGAGTTCGAAACATTCTCCCGTTTATTCTGCTTACTTTTTGCCGCGATTCCCAATTATTGCAACAGTGCAGTCGCCTTACAATCATCGAAATTCGTCTTTTCCAAATAATCGGTTTACTATCCAACAACGTCGCAGCAAACACGTTTTAAACGGCGCCAAGCTTAAAGTGGCCCGTTTTGTGGCCGACGAAATAAATAAAGAAAACTCTCGGTACAGCAACGAAAGGTAAAGCAACCGATACGTTGGTCAAGAAGGAGAGAAACCGAAAGAGAGGGAAAAGCACGAGATTCGTTAAGTGTACGTTGGCTCGTTTCTTTTCATAGCGGTTCAATGAGGTCGTCCGACATTGGCTTGGTGCCACTATCACCGGAGGAAACGTTCGTGTATTCACAACCACGGCTATACAGTCACCCCGACTCGATAATATACCAATTTAACTCAAGCTAACCGAAACCGTGCAAAGAAAAGCCCACACCTTGATCATGCGAAACGCGCACCGAGACTTTCCACGGGGCTTTTTTTCCTTATCCAACTCTTTACCCTTTCTTCATCCATCCCGCTCGCTTCGTTGGCTTCCCTCTGCACCTCGAATCGTAATTATTACATGTACAGTGGAAACTCGATAAATGTCCTCGAGAATTGTTCTGTAAATGATGCATTTTTATCCCCTCCACTAGGGGGATCCCCCTTGAACCAGTAAAGCAAGGTGTAACTGGAGTAATGGCTTTCTTTAAAAATCTTCATTGCCTTCGTCACCTTCGTTTAAATGCAATCTCTGATTATACATTTTTGAAAATGTGTTCGATATGTACCTTGAGGTATTTTAATAATTAAAATTAATGCTTAGTATATTAATTCTCAACTTCGATAATGACTTAAACTCTTCTGAGCACTCGACATCGAATTCAGATTCGACACAGACTTGGATTACGTATTTTTAGACTTTTTGTGTATATGTTTGTATGTTCTCGAAATTGAAAATATTAAAGTTACCTTCAAACTGATCCTAATACGTTAATAAGCAAACTGTGGAAAGTGAGAGCACTCAAGGCGCTATTCTATCATTAACTGATACGAAGATTGAATACTCAGATACAAACATAAATTATGAAGTAATTATTTTTTAGTGTAACCATTGTTCACGATATAACGAGATCGTAAAATCAGTCCAAGCGTAAACTAACAATTCGATGACAAGTAACGATCTTATCCGGTCGTATATTTGTCAAAACACGATTTTACGATTTTGCTATATCGTGTTCCGCACTATACTTAGGCTGCGACTAAAATTTGTTTAAATTACGAACCATAACACAGAACTTTGAGCAAAATAAACAAACGTGGCAATTAAAATTGCATCCAAAGTTCACGTTGAAAAAGAAAAAATTTTTTTTTGTCGCACTATAATTTCCAAAATATGGAAATACACAAAGCATGTAATACTCGTAGCAGATAAATTCGAAATCCTGTCCCTTTTTTAAATTTTGGCAACCGCGGAGCCATACGTAACACGCATCTCTAAAAAATATACAAATTTAATACACTTTCGTATCCTCAATTTTTTTCCCAGGGATGTTCGTCGCCGCTGGTTGTGAAATTTGCAGATACACAGAAGGAAAAAGACCAAAAGAGGATGCACCAACTTCAGACGAATCTTTGGAACATAGCGGGAGTCAACATGACGCCGCATTACCTGACCGTTTGTACCTTTAATATTTTACCACCGACCTTTTTACTGGATATCAAAGAGCTACATTTGCATCGAGAATGAGATACTTTCCCACAAATTTATTTCCCCGGTACCTTAAGAATTGCATGCGCGCCGGGGTAAAAATTCACGTGCACAAAAGAAAAGATTGGATCCACCTTTAAAGATCCGTTCTTTCTGCACGGGAATTTCTCCCTCTAGACGCCTAGAGTCTGGCAAACAAAGCCGAATTCTGCGCCACCAAATCGAGGGATTGCATAGATAAAAGATAAGGAACACGTTCCCTTTCTAGATATTAGTGTTTTAGAAATATGTTTCGAACAAAGTAAAATCGATTCGGGAACTCTTCCTTAATCTCACTCGTTGATCACATAGTCGTTCTCAGATTTTGTATAAACAATTCAGACTCAATTTTCTCGAATTTTGTTGTGGTTTGACTTTCAAATACTTGGAGAGCTCTAAGTCCATGCTTGAAAGAACTTACAACGAGTTGGATTTGTTATTGTACTGTAAGGGGTGGATGTCTATATTCTGTGACTTCGTTGCAATTTTACGCAGGCTTAATTGCATTTTTTCAGCGATATCTTCGAACAACGATGGAATCATGCTCATCTAGGTCTCTGTATGTTTATTTGCAGAATGATACGCCTACTCTGGCGCCCACCTCGTTGCAGTTATTGCAACAACTTCACGCAACGTCGAGTGCAGCGACTCCGGTAGCAGCAGGTGCCGCTGGTGCGAACGCTCTGTCGAATGTTCAGCATCAATTATTGTTACAGCAACATCTCGGTCTCGGCGCGACGACCCCGGCGCACGCTGCCGCCCCCGCAGTGCCCAGTCCGCCCGAAATCAACCCCGCGAATCTTCAGAGCTTAGCGACCTTGGCGTCGTTGAGCAACACCGCCGGTGAGTATGGTCCGTATCAATTTTTCTCACCTATTTTTCAGACCTAACCCAGACCTAACCCAGTCCTGACCCAGTCCTGACCTAGACCTGACTCAGACCTGACTCAGACCTAACTCAAGCCTAACCCAGATCTAACCCAGTCCTGACCCAGTCCTGACCCAGTCCTGACCCAGATCTAACCCAGACCTAACCCAGTCCTGACCCAGTCCTGACCCAGACCTAACCCAGTCCTGACCCAGATCTAACCCAGACCTAACCCCGTTCTTGGTTGAATCCTTGTCAATCTATGTGTCTCACAAATTGAATTTCCCGGAAGTTCCATTTAGAAGAAGAGGGTGTTAAACTCTGAGTCCCAAAAGTTTACCACGAATTCAGAGATTAAAATTTACGCCTTACAACGACTGCTTGTGAAGCTTGATACAAGACCTTCTTCGCCATTTTGTTTTCCACTTTGAACGAGAGCTTTATCGAGTATTTTGTGTTACAAGACAGATAGAATTCGAAAGTTGAATATTTTCATGTACAATAAATAGTCAAAAAATTTGATACTTTCGTTCGGATTTATTCTTTCACGAAGAATCACCCTCTTCACCACAAATAACTGAACATCCAGTAGAATAACTATGTTCTACTATTCACGATCATGCAAAGTGATATTAATCTTTAAATTCTTAATAAAATAGAAGAATCTTCAAGGAAATTCAACTTGGTAATATGAAAATTCTTTTTTTCGAGTTACAACGATCCAAAGATTTACAAAAGAAATTAACAACGATATAAGCAGTTCCAAACAACGTTCGATAATGGCTATATTTTACACTTGTAGCTACCTTCCATGCAAACACTATTTTTCGATAATTCACGGAAATTTATACTCGTAATTGACGCTTGCCGCTAGATACTTAACACGAAATATATATCGTTCATTGTCTCGTAGTTGCGCGTTTATTTTCCCGTGGATAGTAAATTATTAAGTTGATCGTGTCGTCGTTCGTTTCGTAACGTTCGCGATCGTGTTTAGCCATCCCGCATATTTTCCCCGGGTTGTCTCCACGATAATAAAATTCTGTGTTTAATGGGTTCGGGAAACACGCCAGTGTAATGATAGATCGATGTGGATGCCTACCATTACAGTCCACATTAAAACGTGTGTTTACGGTCTATTGGCGAGAAACGTATGGTTATTCGGTGACACGCTAGAACTTACACAACCGTTTCGACGGGCTACTTTGCAAACCGATATATCTGCCCACGTCTATCATTCCCATTGTTTTTGATAGATCACCCGACAAGTCTTGTTCCATTTCAATTGCAAACGAAGGTCAGTCGCGTTAAATTACTTTTGTTCTTTCCACAGTGCAAAATATTATTCCTCAAACTGCCACGTTACTTAGTTAATGGCAAACTCATCATTTCTTTTTACAATTCTTTCATAGACACTTTACGAATCCAATTCATAACCATCGAGACGATGTTTACGAAAGTATCCTCAATTTTTAATTTATACTTTTTGGATATTCGAGATTCAAATATGGAACAAATGTATAAATTTTACAACGTTATAACGTATCGTATATGAATTGGAAACGTTGCAGCGAACGCAGGCGTGTCCCCGATGAGTATGCAGAACCTCGTCACCTTGGCTGCCATGACCGGCGGAAACGGGAACCTTCAGGTGTCGCCAAACAGTGAGTAACGAAACTTTTACGTCAGCGTTACGTAGAACGCCAAAGTAGTGTAAAGAACAATAAAAATATTATTTCATGCATTTGGTGTATCCCCATTAGATTCTGTAGATAAGTGTCTTAAAAGTGGTGTGCTTTCGGAGAGGCTAGCTTGAACGTAAACAGTTGAATCGAAATAACAGCATGCATCGACGTTTATCTCGGGACTCGGTAAACGTTGCGCAAATTTTTAACACGCGTGCACGCGTGTGTGTATGTGTATGTGACTCGTGGCAAGAAACGTTTTCAATGTACATTGTACGACCATCGATCTGTTTGGTGCGACCCTAGGACGACTTCTGTCGAATTTCACTCCCAGTGATCTCGAACTTCTTCTTTAAAAAAAGAAAAATTGAAGAGTTAATATTTAAAGATGACCAAATAAATTGCAGTCTAAAAATCGACGTAGATCGAGGCTTCGGAAGGCCTTCTAGGGTCGAGACATTAACGCACGGGAAGATTAACACGATTTCGTTTGTCGTTGATATTTCTGTGTAATCCGGTCGCGGGGATTTGACGTCGTTGGACGTTAAAGCGACGCGTCGCAGTAATCTTCAAGCAATGTCCAATATAGCACGACGAATACCTTATCTCGTGCGGAGTAACGGCTAAGCAAATTTCGACGAAGTTTACGTGCTGAATATGTAAACACGTCACTAACTCCGCTTGTTAATATCGTGAACGTGTTCTGTGTTTCAGCGTTAAGCGGACTGGCGAATTCGACAGCAGGTATGTCGCTATGTACGTGTCGCATTGCCTGGTATAGTATTAACAATTACTAAATTAATTCCGACCGTTCAACCGGTTTCTAATCTCATTCACGGGCTCGGTATTCTCGATTCGTCGCGGGGAAACAGAGAAGGAATACGCATGCAGCGAACACGGCGACGAGTATCGGTACCAATACGTATACTACTATCTGTACACGCTGACTACCCCGTTGTAGGTCCATTTTTTATTCGCTATGATACTCGAGCGAACATATAAATTCAATGTTCATCTCGGTAGCCACGAGCTTTCCATTATAAAGTCATTTTATAATGGGAATTATTTTCCGGATGGCGGAGTTCGTAATTTCATTAGCGTCTGTTAGATGCTTGTCTATTTCCTGCGTGGATAAATTTCTGTCATCGGGTGCATCAAACGTTGTACGCTTTCGGAACCTTTATAAAAACTTCCATTTAGCTGCTCTATAATTGAATCTGATGCGTCACTGTGGGTGATTAGCATCGTCAATACTATTTGACCACTATTTAAAAAGGAATTACCAGTCGCGATCGTATAGGAGCGTCGATATTTCTAGATAGCAGTGGTTAAAAGTATTTAAATTTGAATATTTGGTCGACTAACCACCCCTAGCATTTCTCTGTCCATATCTCGAATTATCTTCATCTAGTTTTATTTTAATAGACAGTTTCCTGTTGTTGTCGTTCTTGTAGATTTCTGCTGACATATTTAATCTCGATTATAATGAATCCAAGGATTTCATTGTATCTAGGGGATGGATTATTTCTTCCAATTTTGGCTGTTAGTTCTCATCAAGTGCTAAAATTAAAGCTTCTTGGAATGGTCACGAGGTCTGTAAACTCCTTTTTTAGGTTCCCAACCCGACTAGGGCGCTCTTGGGATTTGATCCGCTTGATGGCTGTTGCTGCTGGCTTGAGGTGTTTTTCGTTCATAATTGGGGGTTACAGATAATACTGATGAGGCCTAATAACTAATAATCGACCGTGTTCACTCGGGCTGCTTGGGCGTATATTAGTTTCGTTGACTACTCTGGAGACGTTGGCTGTTTAATGCTGGGTCGTGTTCCGGTGGGTAGATAACTGTTGCTTTTTTATGCTTTCCTCAGACTTTGAAATTGTGCAACCTTCGAAGAATGCTGGACGTACATGTTGGTTACAGTTTGTACACTTTGGCGAGGCTTTGTCCGCATTTTGTGTTGATGTGCACGCTCCAGAACCATTTCCTGCGCACTTCGCACATCGAAGACCCGAATTTGAATTTATGGCTTGCATGGCCCAATTTCCGACAGCTTTTAGGAAGATGGTTCTCTTTCTTAACACTTTACCGACCGGTAGCGGTTGATTAATCGGCTATCGGTCGGTAAGCGTTGGTCGGTAAAAAAGTTGATTAATACGCTATCGGTCGGTAAGTGTTGGCCGGTAAAAAAGTCGATTAATAGGCTATCGGTCGGTAATGTGTTAAGTGCTACCTGTGCTGATACGCTGGCGACTTGATTTTAAAAAATGGTTCTGAATTTGGACTTTTAATACATTTTCTTCTGAAGGATCCCCTTCGATTCGTTTTAATTCAAGGAATTTAGGTTTATCATTCTTGGTTACGTGTCGAGAGTATTTTTAATTGATCCCCGAAGGTGTCCATGTTACATGAGGTAACTGTATAGCTCTGACAGTCGATACTGGTCGAGACTTCCGAGTATAAACCGTGTCCTTGGAGGAAATTGTTCCTTCGCTTCGTCAACATTGCAGCCAGCTTCGTCAGGGATCAAATGACACGCTGATATCGATGTGTGTCATGCGGTTTGTGTCTATTTAAGGTGTCTGTGCTCGTGCAATCGGTTCATTAATTGCCAATCATCGAGTTCGCGTCACGAGCCACTGCTTTAATCGTTCCACCAAACAATTTAGAGAAAAGTAGAAACACACGGACAAGACAGACGAAAACAAACTGCTGTTTTTTTCTCGAGAAACAAAATTATAAAAATTAGAACGACTTCTCACCCCCCTTGAGGATCCACAACCCTTAAAACGTATGGTTAGTAGTATACGTACACGCAAATCTGTATTCAACATCCTTCTCATTTTCATCATTTGTCTGTCTCTATCACTTCGTACATTTTTATTTAAATATCGTCGAAGTCATATACACCGATAACACACGATATAACAGACAATTACTTCGATCGAAGGATACCAAAAATGATCGATCAACACGCTAAATTTAATTGTCGAAAATTCATGAAATTATGATCGATGTACTGATTCTGAGAAAATTTAGGTACACTTGTTGATAAATCGCATTCGGGATCGTAAACGTATTTTTTTTTTCATGTCGAACGCACATCAGCGTTTTAATGTGCACATTGTTTTTCGTGCGTAGCTGTCCTTCTTGGAAAGACCGGAAACACAGGTGAGAAGAAACAATTGAAGCCGCAAACTCATTCAGTTCGTTTAATTGCGACACATTTCCATTTATTTTTTTTTCATTTTTCTCGTTTCTTTTCATCGCTATTCGGCTACCATTCTTGTTTATCCCTGTACCGTATGCACCTACGCACATGCACATATTCATCACTAATTCGATTTGTAATTACTGTTGGCCGTTTAATTGATAGTACGAAGCTCACCCAAACTTTGCCCGCCATGCTTTAATCGAGCTTTAATTCGCACGTTTCATAATATTGATGGTATAACGAGCAATAGGAAAATCCTTCTTTACGATAGCAATTGAAAACGTTCATTTCGGTGAGCTTCGAATTACGCTTTAAATAATAAACGAGTAATAATTTCGTCAATATCTATCGAAAACTATATCGATGAAAAATAATGCTTTGTTTAATGGTGAACGAAAATCGATTTAACAATGCGTAGTCGATTATCAACGATCTCTATTTCTCTTTAGAAAAATTTAGTGAAACAATTTTGTTATTAACCACGATTAAATGCAGCCTTGTCGTTATTAATAATTACTAATTTTTGGTTAAATACAATTGCAAAACGTTTTGGTCTCAAGATATCAGAGTTCTAATTTTCTAATGGGTTTCGTAATGTCTGTGCATTGTTATATTTTTCTTTGAAAATAAAAGTAAAAAGAACAAATTTTAAACAGTACTCTTTTATTTTTCGATTTATAAAGAAGAAAATTTCAAATCATTTTTATTGGAAGAACACCCTTGATCACATGTTGACCATTAAAAAAAAAAAATGATTTTTTCTATAATGTACGTATCTATGTATGTTAGCCATATTTGAACGACTAAATGAATTTCAACAATCTTTTGTATTTAAGCAAAATTAGTCAATACATAATAGAGGATTTAATTTAAAAAATCGACACCATGAAATAACCCTAAAAATATAGGAAAATATATTCGATAATTAGGTTTTGTAAATATGTTTTGCAAATGCTTTCTGAAATCTGTAATATGCAAAATTACACGTTGAATAATTTATTGCATAAGATTTGCAAGGAGAACTGAGCATTTATAAAAAGAAAACGTATCCTTAGTTTAATAATTAATTCTGTAAAATACGCAAAACGCTTTTAGCTGCAACATAAACATGCGCGCATGTACTCGCCTTATTAACAAATATAATGCCATAAAAAGGTTACAGAGATTTTTATTGCCTTTATTTTTAAGCATCGTAGCATGACGAATGCTATGCAGGTAATTATTTTTCTTAAGTTGTACGCAGGGCCGTGCCTGGCTTTTTTTGGAGTCCGTTTGATAAACGAATAAGAATTTTAAAGAATTAATGTGTCATTTTACTGGAAAAATTCATTTAGTTGTTTGAATGTTGAGAAACATAGATACGTACATTATAGAACAGAAAATTTCCATTTTGTAGTTAACGTATAATTAGTGGGAAGCCTTAAATGTGTTCTTTTATTAAAATAAATACCAGACATACGATCAAACTGTTCTAAGAAATTTTAAAAAATGAAACCGAAGAAAAATCTTTTTTATACAGGGTGTTCAATCCTGGGAAAAATTTTAGTGGGAGATTCTGGAGGTCAAAATAAGACGAAAATCAAGAATACCAATTTGTTGATGAAGGGTTTGTTAAAAAGTTATTAACATTTAAAGTTCCACTCGTAATGAATTTTTTTCTCGAAAATGCGCAGGATTTCGGGGGTGTGTCTATTCACCAAAAATGATTGTAATTGACCCCCGCAACCGAAGATAATTTTTCCACAACGATTTGAAATTTTTTTTCCCGTCGTAAAATTTCACACCTTCTCGAATTTTTTTCTCGAAAATGCGCAGGATTTCGGGGGTATGTCTATTCATACAAAATGATTACAATTCACCCCCGCAACCGAAAATAATTTTTCCAGAACGATTTGAAATTTTTTTTTCCGTCGCAAAATTTCACACCTTCTCGAATTTTTTTCTCGAAAATGCGCAGGATTTCGGGGGTATGTCTATTCATACAAAATGATTACAATTCACCCCCGCAACCGAAAATAATTTTTCCAGAACGATTTGAAATTTTTTTTTCCGTCGAAAAATTTCACACCTTTTCGAATTTTTTTCTCGAAAGTGGATAGGATTTCGAGGGTATGTCAATTCACCAAAAATGATTACAATTCACCCCCGCAACCGAAAATAATTTTTTCAGAACGATTTGAAATTTTTTTTCCCCTCGAAAAATTTCATACCTTCTCGAATTTTTTTCTGGAAAATGCGCAGGAATTCGGGGGTATGTCTATTCACAAAAAATGATTGCAATTCACCCCTTCAACGGAAAATAATTTTTCCAAAACGATTTGAAATTTTTGACTTTAATTGTTAATAAATTTTCGTCTTATTTTGACCTCCAGAGTCTTCCATTAAAATTTTTTCCAGGGATGGTCGAATACCCTGTATAGGGGCGGTAAAATATCATATTAGAGCAATTGATTTAATTTTTCTAAATTGCAAAGGCGCCTGTCGCTTGTCACGATTCCGGGTTCTACAACTTGTTTAATCATGATCACGGCTGTAGAAATGGGTGACCGATCGTCGAACAAATGTTAATGATTGCTTTGATTTCGATTTTGAAGGGTCCACTGGAGGTAGTCTTAGTCCTGTGACGTCTCTAGCGCTCAATTCCCTAACGGGGACACCTTTGAACGGATTGCACGATTCCTTGAGCAACGCCTATTCCAGTTTGCAACAATACGCTGGTAAGTGTCTCTAAACGTCAGTGGTAATTGTCGTCCAGGAAGAATTGCTAAATGGCAATGTCTATTGTTTTATTTTTGCACATCGTTCGTAAAAGTGTTGTTCTAACGAGTAACTGTGCGCCCTAAAAGCTCTCATTGGAAAGACGACGGTGACCATGGAAAAGAAAGAATTACATAGTGAGTAACAAAAAATGGAATGCCTGAATTTAGTTCTATACGAAAACGACGGACTGTGCTCTACCGTTTGCACGTTACGAATGCATCAAGATGTACGAGGGTTGTTCGATAAATAAAGACGTGCAAAGAACGACGATCTATCGATTCAGAGAAATATCTAGCTTCTAACTGCACCGCCATTACTTATCGTCTGGTCGCTGCTCGATTGCACACGCTTCGATTATGTTACGTTCGTTTGATTTTCTCGCGACACACGCTTCACCGTCATCGTGCAAACTCGCCAGCAACCGTAAGATCCTTGGAAATAAATGAGCGTTTACACACATGGTCGCCAGACTTGTCGACGATGTGTGACGGGATCTGAATGTCCAGCTTTCGTTAATTTATTAAATGTATGTTCTGCGAACCGCCACAATTCACGAAGCTCATTTGCAAAGCAAGAGGAACTGGATGTCGAAATTTGTTAGAATATTACTTAATTATCTAGTGGTTCTATCCTGTTGTACTGAGAGGATGTTAGGTTCGTGGATCTTGGAAAATCCATAAAATCGTGCGTTACGTTCCTTCCGGGAAGACGTTTTTACGGATTAATCTTTAGGTAGTCTTGCTTTGACAATGGCTGCTTTCTTTTCGATTGTTTGAGTCCTCAAAGGACATGGAAAAGGAGCTTCGTTAATATTAATCGATCTACCCATTGGCTATTGATCGCGTACTCTGGTCCCTCAGACATGATTCTGTTACGTCTCGAAGACTACCTATGTGTCTCGAGCATGTATCATGTTATTTTGTTGAGTTTTTGCATAATTACCGACTGTCCAGGTCATTGAGATGTCATACAAAGCAAATTAAACTGGAAAAAGAGACTAGGACCAATCAAAGATAAAAGTTTTTGCGTTTTCAAGCGCGTCTGTCCATTACTCGCTATTTCTACTTGCTACGATGACCAAATCGTATTCTATTACTAGCGTATGCTTTAATGAGTTTTCAAAGTTGATTTTCTCGACCTGATTCTTACTTTTTGTAGCTTTTTTTCATTTTTCAAATAAATCTCTTTTCAAAGCTAATATTAGTAAAAATAGCATCTTTATTTACGAAATAACCCTCGCATATACGAATCCCGAGTCACGAATACGCAGATCTGCGATAAAGTAGAAACAGAAATGTGTGTAATTGTGCAGAGAATAAACTGAATATATTTAACGAAACCTAAATTCTCAAACAGTGTGTATTCGATTCAAACGTATACGCTCAGCTATTTCTTAGACTGTCGAAGATGCACAGATTGGTATGCTTTCGAATTTAGTTGCACAAACTTTCAAATCGTACTTTTTATAAAGGCATGTATTATTTTATGATATTTATCTTTCAGCGCTTCCCAGATCAAACTCGATCAATTAAAACACGTGCACATACATGTTTCAACTACACAGTTTTCATCAATATTTCTATACAAATGAAAATTTATTCTATAATACTTAAACTTATTCAATTCAGGTGATTTTGTTGAATGAAAAGTAAGTGTTTTCGAAATTTCTACATTTATCCACCAGAAAATGAATAGAATCTTACCGACGAGTCCAAATCGATACTAGTTTTACTTTTACCAACTTGAAAAATAGAGAAGGTTGTACAACCAAGTAGTATGATAGAATAACACCCTAGTGGCCTTGTGCAGCCATTTAACACGTCAACTGCCGAACCAAAATTGTTCAATTTTTTATAAAACCAAAACGTTGAATCTAGACAATTTTAAAGAACCTAAATTAAAATTGACATCAGTGTTTATTTCCCTAACCTAGCTAAAATTAATTGAGTCCTGTTCAAATTTACTTCCTTTTACATTTCAACCTGAGACTTGTTTTAGTTACACAGTAAAAAATCCTGTCACGGATGACGTAGCAGTCAATGTGTTAATTTGGATCCGATTATTGTATACTCGAATTTAGAATAAATATTAAGTATCTTCGATAGTCTAAGAAACAACGAACTCTGCATAGTTAAGCTAGATCTCCTTTGACCATAATTTTTAGCGATCGTAATTGACCTGAGAAATGCGAACAGAAAGGAACGAAGTAGCTCCTCTATGGAAGAGACAAAGAACTCGTGATGAGGAACGTTGTGTTTTCAGGATTCCCCGCGTTCACGGCGGCAGCGGCCGCGGCTGCGGCGGCGGCCCAAAAGGCGAAATTCATTACCACCGATAAGCAGATAGAAGGTCCCGAGGGCTGCAACCTGTTTATTTACCATCTACCGCAGGAGTTTAACGATATCGACCTCGTTTCAACGTTCCTCCCATACGGGAACGTCATCTCTGCCAAGGTCTTCATCGATAAACAATCGCAACTGAGCAAATGCTTCGGTGAGTGCATCTATTCTTAACCACTCACGCCCCCTAGACCTTTCTTTGATCAACTACCAACGTCTCGAACACTTAATAAACACTCCAAGAAGACGTGTGTCTTTTCAATTTTGCTTTTTTAACCCTTTGACTGCGGCGCGTCCTAGGAAGAATCCATCCACATAGATGGCGCGATCGTCGCGTGCCTGTCGCTTCGACTGGTGACCAAAATTTACCCTAGATTTAAGAGACCATTCTAACGGTTTAAAAAGATAATAAATGCAAATAAATTTTTATCCAATTCCATATCAATTGGTAAAACAGTAAAAGGTGAGGGCGTATATTTACTTTAGCAGTCAAAGGGTTAAATAAAAATATGACCAGACGTCCATCTCCTCGAACTGTAAATAGCAGATTTGAACAAATGACCAAAGTAACTAATATCGCTAATATCGCGAATTATTTTCAGGCTTCGTGTCGTACGACAACGCAACGAGCGCGCAAGCGGCGATCCAGGCGATGAACGGTTTCCAGATCGGCATGAAACGGCTGAAGGTCCAACTGAAACGATCCAAGGACGCATCGAAACCCTATTAGCCGACGTCGCCCACCGTTCGTAGGTAGATACCCAGGACTTCTCGAATACCACGGCTCGGACCCAACGACCCTGGTGTCCTTAATCAAAACTATGTTTACGCGTTCTCTAAGTCGCGACATAGATCGTTGGTCGAGATGTTCCTCGATCTTGGTTCATAGATCTTTTCCATTCGACGGGAGTGCTCGGAAAGCGTTGCTTCCAAACGAAAAAAAAAAAAAACGAAATCATCTCTAGTCAAACAGTATTTTCGGTGGAGGTCGAGAGTAAACGGAAGTTCGTGAAACGTGTTCCTCTCAAAGACAAACGGGTTTACTTGTGTTACGCGTTTCATTCGAAAAGCTACATTATCCTTCGAAAACGAGGCTGTGATAATCTTGAAGACTTACGTTGTCAGACTTTTTCCAAATAATTGAAGGTCATCGTCCTTTCAATGTTACTATTTTTTCGCATTGCGAGAATATATACGTATCTCTTTTTTTTTCGAGCTCACGTGTTTCTTCTACTTGTCAGTCCGTCCATATATTCGGGTATTTTTGTACCTAGAAAGGAGACTATCTCTTCTTCGTGTCTCGTTATGCCTGTATCTCCTGGTGATACGTGTTATCGACGCGTCTGGTCTTCGAGAACGGAATAATATCATTCGCTGTCAAAATAAACGCTCTGCTCTTTCTGAACGCAGTGGTGACTCAAAAGCATTTCAATTCCCTTTCATCAAGTCACGACGGAGACGAGTTGTTCTAACGCTTCTCGAATTACAATTTGACCGAGCACCAGAGGACAGTTTGCAATATATGTGTTCAATTAACATACGTAGATCGTTAAGGATAGTTTTTAACGTGTATTTATTTTCTTTGCGGGCAAGTGTTTCCGAATAACGTCGCCACTGATTCTGTACACGAAAAAAATCACGCACCGATCTATTCCACGTGCACGATATTGAAAATTATTATTAATTATCCTTTAACTACAGATTCAACCAAACCGCAGGTACGAATTGCTATTTATACAACATGATACAGGGTGGTATAGACAAAGAAGGACTACAAATTTTCCAAAACCCTTAAAAAAGGAGTATAATACCTTTTTTATGTCTCGTAATTTACTGGAGTTCTTTGAAACGATAAAGAAAATTCTGCAATTTTTTTCTTAAGTCTCATCAACACTTTGCTTATTATACAGGGTGTTCGGCCACCTCTGGGAAAAATTATAATAGGAGATTCTAGAGGTCAAAATAGGACGAAAATCAAGAATACCAATTTGTTGACGGAGGCTTCGTTAAAAAGTTATTAACATTTCAAGTTCCGCCCATACTGAATTTTTTCCTCGAAAATGCGCAGGATTTCGGGGGTATGTCTATTGCCCAAAAATGATTGTAATTGACCCCCGCAACCGAACATAATTTTTCCAGAACGATTTGAAATTTTTCTTTTTCGTCGAAAAATTTAGGCATCTTCTCGAATTTTTTTCTTGAAAATGCGTAGGATTTCGGGGTTATGTCTATTGCCCAAAAATGATTGTAATCGAGCCCTGTAACCGAAAATATTTTTTTTAGAATGATTTGAAAAATTTTTTTTCGCCAAAAAATTTCACCAACTGCCTGAATTTTTTTCTTGAAAATGCGTAGGATTTCGAGGGTATGTCTATTGACCAAAAATGATTGTAATTGGTCCCGCAATCGAAAATAATTTTTTCAGAATGATTTGATATTGTTTAATTTAATTTTTTAATAACTTACTAACTTACTAACGAAGCCTCAGTCAATAAATTGATATTCTTGATTTTCGTCTTATTTTGGTCTCCAAAATCTCCCATTAGAATTTTTCCCAAGGTTGGCCGAACACCCTGTATAGTAAATTTGTATCTTTAATGCATTTTATGAATATGTACAGACACGAAACACAATGCGTAGTATTTTCAAGCTCGTGTACGAATAGAAATCTGAAAGATTCTGATTTTCGCGCACACGGTTGGGGAAAAAAGACTAAATATTTGGAACGAGACAGTAGGATGTTCCATGAAACTGAGGTGCATTGTGCCATAAGAACGATTCGAGTAATAATAAAACAGATACAGTTCATGGGGAAAGAGTAAACAATGTAAATACAAGAAACGAAGAAAGCTACGAGTAAATTTGCAACTGCATTAAATGCATAATGCATACACGGAACAAGGATACGAAAGCATTCAATTTTTATTCATCGCTTGTTCGGTAAACTCGATCGTTTTTGTAATAAAATCTGACCTATAGTCGGATGAAAATCGACGGTCAAATCTACTATAATTTTAATTTCTATTTTTTGGATCATTTAGTGGACTTGAACAGCCAGTTTAATTCGACTATAGCTACATGGGATATCCTACGCGATTCGCCATAAACGCATGTATTTTTTTCTTGTACAGTGTCTCTCAGGTCGAGCATTTTGTTATTTTCCAAGTACAAAGAATCCAAGGTCTTCGCCAGAATAAGAATAAGTCTCTGCTCGATAGCAAGAGCAATATTCGCTCGCTTGCCAGTACTGTGTCCTTCGATTCTCGAAGACGCAAGCCTGCCCTTAGCCCTATACCGAACCCTCCGCTCTTTCACGCCAGTGGTGTAATCAAACTTCATTTCGTTGCAACGGCTGCCAAACAAGCTTTCTGTGCTAACTTTTGTACACAAAAGTGGAATTACGTACGTGAAGTTTCACTAACATTTTTACCGTAGCTGCCCTTCAGACAAAGTACAAGTAGCCTCGCTTTGAGTTTTTTTTCCACGCAACGTAAGTCGTTACGTAAACTAAACTTTCCAAGATTCGCTTCGAACTCTTTTTTTTTTTTCTCTTGTCTCTTGTTTAACATATTTATACACACGTATACATGTACATGTATGTAACTTAAACTACGTCGGTATTGTACGTTGTCCTACCAGCAGGTAGCAATGAAAACCACAACGATCTACCTCAATATTTAATTACCGATTACGCCACTTATTTTATTATCATGATCGCGCGAGAGTCGGTCCCTCGTTTATTGCCAAAGGGACGGAACCAACTTGGAACGTTCTATGTTCACAGTAATATCCAAAAGTTTGATGGTTAATTACGCTATGACGCTTCATTAGATGTTAGTACTAATATCGCCGTGTCTTTTTTTTTTTTTTTTTTCTGGGATATCGTCGATCGTCGGGTCACGATCAACGCCACCAGCGACTCATCGATCGCCACTTCGTAGCTCGATGAATCGCAATGGCGCGGAACGAAGCAACAAGGATTACGAAACGAAAATCATTTTAAAAACGGGGAACTCTATATTTTTCTATCGATTTGAGAAATCCTTGATTGCTTCCGTTAATAAACGACGAATCGGCAAAGTACCTGCGTACACGTTGTACGGTGACGTTGCGTTTAAGATCCTGCAAGTATTCAGAAACTCGTCCGCCGTGAATGTTCATTTTTGTGCCCAATGTGCTTGAATACACTACAGATCGATGAAAAACGCAGGCTAATTCGGAAATTTCCGGAAAAGGGGGGGGAGATGAAAAGACAAAATTCCAACGACCGTCACCGCGCACGTTTGCACGGGGAATCCTACATATCTGGTGTGTGGTGGTGACTAACCTGTCCGTGTGTTTGTTTGTGTGCCAGCAGGTGGCCTGTGACGTTGTGACCGTGTTCTCGATCGGAGTCGCCGTGCCATGTCAGTCTCAGTCAGTCGAATCGGTCAATCGTTCGATCGATCGGTCAGTCGATCAGTCGATCACTCGATCAGTCACGACTCCTTGGTCAGCCTCTTGATCAGTCATTCTGTATCTGTCGGTGCCTATGCACAACTCTGCCCACCCTTTCGCTCCTTTTGCAAGAAGTAGACGCTGTTAGCTCTGCTCCTACATGTATATACATATACATATTTACGTATGCATGTATGTATATATATGTATATATATACGTGCACATACACGGATCTCTCCATGTCCCCCCATGACCATCCAGAATAAATTCCTCGAACTGTATCTTATCCACCTTCGAGCTACCTCTAGGTCTTGTTTCACGTGTATGCGGTCGCCATTGCTCGGTCTCTTCCAATTTACCGGGCTAGATGGCGCTGATTGTCGAATCCCCCCTCCCCCGATGAACGTCGGCCAGCTTGAGCGGACCAAGTGGGCGCGAAAATAAAATCGAGGTGCACGAAACGGAACGAGGAATCGTCGTGGGAAAAAAATAATGAACCGATCTGTTTCGTGATAACGGGGAGACCAAAGGAACGACCGGTCATCGTTCAGAGAGCCTGACGAAAAAGAAAAGTAGCGAAGCGGATATCGGATACACCCGGCCTACGAGCACTGTGCGTTTATGTTCCTCGGGGCTAAACTGTGACGCTAACTTATCTCTTTGTTTCTCTGTATGTGTGGCGTGTGTATATATTACGTAGCATACGCGAACCGTATGCATACCCATATATCTATGCGTGTGTATGTACGAGCATGTGCGTGTACGCGGCAGCCGTACGATCTAAAGCTGATGAGAGAGGAGCTGATAGTTTTTTTTTTTTGTTTTTTTTTTGTGTGTCGGGACTGTCGCTGCAATCTGTCGTCGGTACCGAAGGAATTGAAACGAACGAGAACGGAAAGAATCAATTTTAGATCGTAATGAATTCTTTGTGGACCTTTAGCGTAAGAGATATTCACGTACAATCACTAAGTAGCCGTTAAAAAAAAGAAAAAGGGATGAAGGTGTGCTTCGATCCGTGAAACGGAACCCGGGCACACCCTTGTATCATACGAGAACACTATTCGCGCATACGTTAATTTAGCGATTAAGAATCGATCGTATCGATTTAAGTTTTGGGATCGCTATCAGCGACGCGAGGCGCCTGTTCATATGTAGATACACGCACTGACGTACCGGCTAACCGAATAATAGGGAAAGTAAATAGAACAATGGAGGGGAATTGCCAGAGACGTGTAAACGAAGCGATGAGGGAACGGTCAGTTCGATTTAACGTGTAAATTAAATGGTGTAAAGATTACCAAAAAAAGAACCAAAAGAAAAAAAAAGACAAAACTTGGAACAAGGAAACAAAATGGAGAGTAGGGGAAACGATACATAAGTAGCATTTTTTAATGACTTTGTGATAACGTTGTACCGTATATAGGATTGGACTAGGGTCGCTTTTTAAAGTATGTATGATAAGCGTGGGCGTATGAAACTTAACGACGGAGAATTCAGGATTAAAAAGAAAATTTTTCATCAGCGACATCTCGGTAGCGCGCACGCGATCTCTCTTTATTTCTCATCTCGGGTATCACGGAGATACATATCGTTCGTTCGTATTTTATGATCTTTGTTAGGTTCGAGCCTAGACGGATGTATGCCCATAAAAAAAAAAAGAGAAAACGATACCCTGTACTTTTTCAGTGCACGATGGAAAGAAAAGAAAATTGGAAGAATTCGATGGAAAACATTTACTCGCCGGGTGTTTAATTGTATGAATTAATCTTGAATCGGTAACAAATTTGTTTGTGGTATCCGAGAAATATAATGTTTTCTACGAAGTATGCGTGAAAGTATATCGAACTAATTTCGTTTCATTCGGCTGGTATTACATTTTTAGAAATGAAATAGAAACGACCAGGATCGACAGTATTGCTGAAACATTTTAACTGTTCCACGAAGATTTATGATTTCTAGTTACTGAAGCAAGATTAATTCATCGCCGTCGTTCTAGGTACTTAATTTCATTCTAATCCTAAATTGAAAGACATACGATTCATGTGTAGAAGAAAAGAAGAATTTTCGAGAGTCCAGAAATGATAGCTGATAAATTGAAAGTAATGTTAATCCAATGTACATATTTGCTTACATTTCTGTCATCACCAGTCTGTCGAAGGTTTACCTGATGCGATTTTTACCGTTAATTGCAAGATAATAGTCAATAGTGTCAGATAGTCATACAGTACGAACAAAAGACTAAAGTATAAGACGAAGGAAAAGCAAGTTCGAAGGAGCAACCTCCGAACGAACAACTCGTGACTTAAAAAAAACGAATCATTGGATCCAAAAACACTGTATTTACATTTTAAATCTATTGACTTTTAACCCTCGCCCAGCCATAACTGATTAGCTGAACGAGGGTCACGCATCCGAAACGATCACTTATTTTACGTTTATGCGATCACGAATCGTGCTTAACCGTATTAGCAAGACAAATTTCTTTGGAGAATATAATCAAATTATTTTTTATATCAAGTTGTTCAAGTGACTTCTACATAAAGGGATGTAGCGGCGTGAACTAAACGTGAATTACGAAGGAACTAGAAAATGGCGTCCAGCGTAGGATTGCAAAAGGCAGATGACCATATTTCCTGGACAAATTTGTCTTAATGATACAGTTAAAGAGATCAACATTAAAAACGAAAACAGCTGGTGCGTATAAGTGTTCGTAGCTGGCTCTCTTTCTGATCCATTTCCATGAATCGTCCCTTTCGTCATTTTCCCTTCCCCCCCCTTCCTCTTCACTACCAAGGTTCAAATTTCAATTAATAGTTGTATAGTTTAATTTGCTTCGAATCATTGAATTTCACCAAATCCGCAGATTCAGTCAGAATTAAATTTTTTTCGATACAGTGACACACAATTTTTACATACACGCGTCAAACCAAATGAACGGAGCTGCAAACGACAACCTTTTACGAACAAGTTGTGCGGACTAGTAGTGAGATATACAGGGTGGTCAACTAGAAACGTATTTCTTTGTGCATTTAAAACGCGACAAAATATTTTTAATAAGCAATTGTAACGGACCATAAATGTGAACACGTCCAATTTGAAGCAAATGTCGATCGAACATGTTCTTTGTTTGAGAAAATATTGATGGCTCTGTATATCCTAAGAATCATGACTTTCGTTAAAAAGAAATTCCAATCTCGCTTCTGAAACATGGTCTTGCTCTACAAAACTGTTAAATGTTAATTGTATGTATTGTTTACGTGGCGCCACCCTGTAAATGAATCGGACGTGGTTGTGTCGTGCTCCGTGCAAATTACCAAAGACATCTCTTTAATTAAATCGATGTACTTATACACCGTTAACGATTAATTCTCACACACACACACACACACGTTCAGCCGTTAACGATTAAATTGTACGAGAATCGAGCACGCATTAAATGTTCTTAAGTCTTACGCGTAAATACAAATGGAGCCTAGTCAGAAGTAACGTTACGATTAATGTATCACTTTTTATGTTCGTGTCAGTTTTCTCACCACATTCTTTTTTTTTTTTTGGCACGTGCGTTTACATCGTTGTTTAGCGCTGCTATGTTTAACTATTATTATCACAACCATTACTATTATTATTATTGTTATATCCCAATTAACCGATGATTATCGTTACCCTTATTATAATTATTGCAGTTGCTATCGCTGTTGATAGATTATTAATATTATATTATGACGTAATTATCATTGTCGCTATAATTCTTGGTGGTATTGTTATTGTAAAATTTTATTATTATTACTTTTGTATCTACTATTATTATTATTATTTGCAATTTATAGGAATGATGATTACGATTGTCCGAATTACTTTTATCAACGCTATTTTATTCGATTCAGTCAATAATTCTAACGTTACGCCATTGATTTCTATTCCGATAGTTGGAAACTTTATTAATTTTTATTAAACCTTCGAAGTAATAGGATCGGATATGGATCACTCGTATCGATGTACTTAAATCGATTGTTCTACCTCTAAAAGATATTCGAATTACGATCCTCGAGAGAGATAGATTTTAAACGATAGAAGCATTGTTTATCTTGCTTGCATTATAAGTTTTGTTCGTGTAAACAGAACACGCATGTTCTCGTGTGGATGGTCCATCGAACAATTACAAACATTGAAATTGCATGTTCCCGATCGAATAAAGTGAAACAAATGATCTTGTTCGCACGTAATCATCGTGACTACCATTGCTATCGATACAGTTGTAATTTATCATTACCACTAGATTATATTTTTTTTGTTTTAAATGCTAGATGTACATAATCCGTATGACCACCATGCTCGTCGGATATATATATAGATATATATATATATATATGTCATCCTCGCAATGTTAACAGATTATAATACTTTATTTTGCTGTTTTTTCTCTCGTAGAATTTGTTTTTTTTTTTTGTTTTCTTTCTTTTCTTTTATTAATTTTAGATTTCTGCGTCTAACGCGTTCCGTTTTCCTTGGTGCTCTTAAGCGTACGATCTTCGGAGATATAACACGCTAGTTTATGTTACGGATCAACCGAAAGGCGATCGTTCGATGACACAAAATAAAATCGCATGATCAGCTTGCAAAGGAATGATGGAATTTATGAATAACACGACTGACTTTAATTCACTGTTTTAATTGATCCGAACTAATTTACGCTTACTCGTGCTTAGGCATATGGAGAAATTATGTTTGTAAATCTTATGGAAGACAAGTGCAAATTGTAGATTTTCTGGCTACGAGTAAATGGAAAATTATGTTGGCTCGAAGTTCACAAAGCAGAACAAAACAGTTTCAATATGTGCTTGCGCGTGTTCGAAATTATTTCAAAGATATGAGAATTATATTATTATGCAGAGTTAGAGTTTATTTATCAGCCAGTTATTTTTATGGAATGCTACAATTTCAAATAAAAATATTAAGTATCTTCGAAATAATTTTCGAACACGTTTTCGTTGGAAAGTCCTTTATTTTTTGCATGAATTCTGATAACCATTTAGGCGATATGTGGTGAAGTTGTAATTGTTATTAAACGTTTTTACATACAATTTAAACGATGTCAAAAAGTGTACTTGTACAGTCACAAATATTAATATGCTTATTTTGCATACATGATCACATGGTCACATGATTCATCCAATTTCTTTCTTTCGCCATTATTCTACGAAAAGTATCAGACACCAGAGACCATTCGATAAATTCTCAGTTCTGTAATTTCGATCTTCACTTTGTATAAAACATTTTTTCACAATTGAAATCAGAGTAAAAAAAAATAAATTGTGAATTTGAAAATTCGACATTGCCATGGAACGATCGTCTTCAACGCGTTGGCTCGATCGCAATAGTGATTTCCTTTCAAGGATCGACGAAGTACGACAAGATCGTGAATTAAAATCAAAGAGGAACCAAATTCCATCACCAAAACGCAAAGTAATACCCCCGGTGCGCACTACGTATAGAAAATTCGCACACGCGTGTATCATGTGTACGTGTATGTAATGCGTGTATTATAATATAAATATATATGTACACACGTATATCACGCGCTGGGCATTACGTGTGTTTTCGTGTATGTGTGTATACAGATACATGTACAAAATAATCAATGTATAATTTACGTGCGCTATCGTTGTTGAACGTAACTACCCGCGTCCACTATTGTTGTGTTTAGACGGCTGCATAAAACAAAGATTTTACTTTTTCGTTCACTTCTATACTTTGTCGACCCCCCCTTTGTTCTCTGTTTTTTAGTGTCTTTGAAAGACGGTCAGCGAAACGAGATGAAAGAAAAACGATCGATTTTCTAATATCTTTTATTTTTTTTTTTTTCCGTTTCCTTTTCGACGTGTGCCGCAATCAGCATGTGGATGGCGTATGTTTAAGTAACAATACATTGTATTTATTTTGTTCGTTTAATTTCTTGTTTGCTTTTTTTATCACCGTCCATCGTCCATCGTTCCTCTGTCCCATCTCTCAGTTCCCTCTGTTTTTTAACCGCTGTAGCGCGATTCTTTGTGCAACGCGTACAACCATAATTCCGCGCCACCTTTATCGAGGTGCCTGTTTTTATGTACACCGGCGATCATTGAAATTATTGCGAGATCAGGGGGACACTGGCGTCAGCGTCGACGCTGGGAGTCCCATGGATCGAGCATTGATTAGAAGGGGGGGGCTACAGCCCCCTAGCCTCATCTTTCAAGGGGCCTCACTTTTTCAAATACAAATATACATTTTTACGTACACTTAAGCAAAACGTTATATCATTTCCCCGACGAATCGAATCATTTTTGATAATTTTCATTTTCAACGTGTCATCCAC